CAGGGTTTGTTTGCTTGTTTATTTGTTCTCTGCTCCTCTCCCCGTAGTGTGGGACAGCCTAGGTGCTCTTTAATGGATCCTCGGCGGGTGCTGTGGGTCGTGGAAGCCGTCCTCCCTTCATGTGCACTCACGGATGCTGTGCTCGTGAGCCACCCGCTGAACTCAGCTGCAGCACAGTGCAGCTGTGTCAGTCCTCAAAGCGCGATCTACTTCAAACGTGTCTTTGAAGAGAACCCGTACGTAGGACTTCAAAGCTGCTTAAACCGTTCGGAGTAGAATTGCACAGTGAGTCATCTGCCAGGAAAAGGCTTCATTTATTTATATATTTATTGCGCACCCCCCTCCCCTCCTGTGGCTGTATTTTGGAAGAGCACTGTGACTGGAGGTAACTGGCACGGTGAATTGTTGCCTGACATAGTTCTGTGCTCGCTGCTGGCCCTGAAGAACCCGGTGCAGAGCTGTGGCAAAGCTGCAGCAAGGCAGCTCCCAGCCGGTCTGCGTGATCGGTCCCTTGCAGCAGGAACTGACTCATCGTGTCCTTGTGCTGCCGGGATTTCTTTCCTTCTTGAGGCTGGGGTACTCCTTTCAGAAACCCGCCTGCGTGTCAGCTCTTTCGAAACACATCTCGGCTGGCGCCACGGATTGTTTCCGATCGGCTCCGAAATGTGGAAGCATGTTTCTGGCTGAGCCTGAGCCTTGCCCTGGCAGCTTGCAGGGCAGGGGTTCCTCGCCCCAGGGCGGGATGTTTCACAGAGCAAAGCCTGCTCCCCCTGCTATCTGGGCTGGTGTCGGTGGCATCCCAGTGCTCCTGTGTTTCTGATGTCCCTGCCGCGCTGCGACATGAGAGCCACTGCTGGGGGGCTGTTCGGGAACCAAAAGAAGGAAAAGACGTGGAGTGAAGGCATCTGAGACAGCAGGGACAGTGCTGTGTTGCAGTGTTATCAGACCCAGTTTGGTTCCCTGGCAGATGCCGTGCTCCTGCTGAAGACAACATTTGTTCTGGCCCTGGTTTCAGCGAGCCAGAACTCTTCTCCACCCTTCCTTATTTTTAATAACTGCTGTGTTTTGCTCTGATGGACTATGCTGGCAAATGCCTGACTTAGTCTGCCTTAAAGAGTTTTTTCCCAACAGATCTGCTCCAAATGAGGAGCGTGCCGAGGTCTAATGCACCTAAAACTGCAGGTACTCATGCTAAAGTTTCCCTTTTGCAGTTTAATAGACTGGGAGGTCGAACCTCTGTGAGATGCAAAGTGCTGTATGCTTGCCACTAGGTTAGTGGTCTTGCTCTGCTGTTGCCTGAAAGTTGCAGCCATTCACCAGCCATCTCCAGCATCGCTATGAATGGTTTGAGTTTTGCATATATCAGAGAAAAAAAACAACACCCACCAACCAAAAAATTACCTTACTCTGGAAGACTTTTAAATAGAGCAAAGTGTACTAAGTGCTGAGCACAATACATTTGAGATACCTTGGCATCGGGAGTTAGGTTCCTGCAGACCTGGTAAATAATGGAATAAATAAAGAAAGCAGCCTTAAATGTTTCGGTCCCTTCCTGGCCGTTAAGGTGTGTTAGGGGAAAGCAGCTTTACAGATGTTACAGTCTGCATGTGTTTTATCCATGAGCGTGGTGGGGTGGTGGCTGCTGTTGGAATGTATTGAATTTACTGTAGCAGCTGTTTGTTAAATTGCTGTAGTTTCTGCTGGGTATGGTGGCCCAGAGCGTGTGCACGTTCAGTGGAGAAGCTGAGGAGCTCATGTGTGGTGAGACTTAAGATTTATTTTTTTTTTTTGTGCTTCTGTTTTCTGATAGCAGAGATTAATATGAGAGTCTCTGGGTGAAAAACAGTAGCGTTGCAGTGCAGGCAATTACCAGTGCTATTGTTACAGCCGCTTTTGGCCTTGAATCCAGGATAAGGCAGATACAATTTATTACGTTTTCAGCCTACTCTTGTCAGTGAAGGTTTCTCATTTTTATGTGATAAAGAGTGAAGCCGCATGAGAAATCTGTGTCCAGTCCTGCTCTCCATCACAAAGCCCCCTTTTGGCTGCGTGTAGCTAGCAGTGCTGCTGTGGACTGATTGTGCGTAGAAATTGCAGGCTGCAGAAGGCAGCCTTGGGCACTCCCAGCCTTTGATTTGAGTCCATTACAGGCACTTTGCAGAAATAAGCAGGTATTAATGCCTGTGTTTGGCAGTGGGAACAGACAGGAAAATGGTACGCCCATGGAGCTTGGAGGTAAGAGGAGACGTCAGCCTTTCCCCTGTAAGACCTGCAGACCCTATAGAAATGACCTGTCCAGGAGGGGACATTAAAAAGGCAGCTTACATGCTGTAATCAGCAGCTGTCTGTATTTTATTAGCATTCAGCGACACGGGCGCTGTCTTCTCACCACGTAAAAAGTTTTGAGAATTGGAGTCTTACTTTATTTTAGCAGTCTGGCATTGTCCCTGAACACGAGGCTTATGTTACAAACAACCTGTACTATTGATCTGACTGCCTTTGTGTACTTACTAATTGAGTAACAAGTTAATTCATTGCCAGAATAGCTGAAGGAATCCTATGACCTAATAATGTGTATGGGGACTCCCCAGGAGGACGAAGCCTACAATCAGGCAAGCTGGAAGTTAAGGTTTCTTACGCAGCTCTGTTGGCTCGTTTTAGCGCTCCCTTCTTGCTGTGTGTTCCTTCTCCACATCCGAATGGCAGCCCTGAGAGGCAAAACAGAAGCCTAGGGCTCCTGCACTGTTTATTTCACCAAGAGGCAGATGCTGGCACTTCCTCTCTCTATAAACTCGTGGTGGTTTGTGGTGACGTTGACTCTCGCAGTGTGCTGCTTCTAGCAGAATGCAGATGTTGCTTGTCAGCGCTGGCCATCGTTCAGGGCTATAAATACTGCCTTTAATAAAGAGCAGTGGTGAAACAGGGCTGTGATTTATGAGCAAGGCTCCACAAGTTGGCATGGCTTTCTGAGTAGCGTTTGCGTGTGGAAGGCAGAGTAGAGGTGTTAGCTCACCTGGCTGTCCTTTGCTCTTCTTAAATACCAGGGCTGGGTGTTTGAAACCAGTTTTGGCTGTTGTGAATGGATGAGCTGTTACTTTGGGTGTGTGTCAGAAGAGCTGGGGATCTGCTTTATTCACAAATTCAGAGGAGACCAAATTCAGTGTTTGTTTTTTTTTTTAATTATTTCTAAGAGAATTTACGACTTTGTCTAGAGCTTTTGAAAAGGGCTGAGGAGGGGCTTCCCGCAACAACAGTTATGAGGAGGGGCTTTTTTTGTTTGCTTTCTAGGGTGGCTGGTGGGAAGTGTTCTTAATACTTTATATCCAGTAATCCCATGGTAGATGAAAATGAAGTCTTTTTATTATAGCATCTTAATATTTACACTTACATGCAAACTAAAATCCCCATTACTCGTAAGAATGGGCAGATGTCTGTTTTCTCCAGATACGTTTTTAAAAAATAGAAAGGTTTACCCAAAGTGCAGATGTTTGATACCTTCATTAGGTGTTTTCTGTAAGTTTCCCACCTGTAGGATCACAGCACAACCTCCTCTTAAACGTGAGAAGAGGGTAGGGCGCAGGTGATGATACATGTTGAGGAAGGTGTGCAGAACAACCAAGATCTTTGGTTTTAGCCCACGTTACATGAGAATCTCAGCTTGGAAAGGTTAATAAACATCTAACAGACATCTCAGGAAATCGGTAGGTCGTTGCTGGAGTGATCAGTTGTTCTGACTGTGGCTTGTCCAGCCTGAGGATTACAGTGGCATACGAAGCTTTGGTATGCTGAAGCGTTGTGTTTAAAGTCATCTTTACCTCATTCCACTCATATCTGCCCTGCCTGTGACCTCTGCTGATCACTCATTATCCCTGTGTAAACTAAGACTTAGTGGAAAGAATTTCTGCATAGTACTTTTCTTTAATAGAAATGCTGTCACACACAGAAATGAGATTGTGTAAGGGTTTTCATGCAAGTGTCAGACAAGCTTTTTTCCAAACTTTTTTTTTTTTTTTTTTAAAGAAAAGATTTATCCATGTGGAGGGAGGTGTACGCGGGGGTGCACTTTCTTATGTGGAAGGCTTTTGCTTCTTTGAAGGAAGAAAAGCAAATACAGAGTTTAGCCAGAACTTTCCTGCTGTAGTAGAAGTGGGAGGAATCTATAAATGCATGATTTATATAAAGTGCCCTGGGACTGCGATGCTGAACATCCTGACTTGGAGCAGCCGGTGAGGGAAATCATCGCTGCCACGAGGGAGCAGGAGGAAGGCAAGAGGTTCTTCAGGCTGGCCCAGCGGTTTGTGCCTCTCTCCGGTTCTCCCAAATCAGCTTCCTTGCCCCGAGTCCTGCTCTTCCTGGTGGTGCCACCCAGTGGGATGCCCGCTGCGTGTGGGCAGCGTGGATGCTACTGAATTCTGCGGAGGTTATTTTAGATTTGGGGAGTAGCATTGTTTCCAGGACAACTGGGGGAAGAAATGAGGAAGGGACTTCTGCTGAGCCAGCGCGGAGCTGCCGATCGCCCTGGCTGTGTTGCCCTGTGGAAAGTGGCTTAGGGCTTACACCTACAGGGGACCCTTACAAGCTGTTCTCAAACACTTTGGGTACATGCTGCTGGCAAATGATTGAGTTAAAAAATACTACAACAAAAATTAGATGAGAAGTTGTTATTGTCAGGCGCAGTTGTAGGTTGACTGTAGCAAGCAGCTGTCTGTGCGGTGAGCACAGGTTTTGGACACAGCTTGTTCAAGAGGTGAGTGCAGAGCACAGTATGTTTCTGGGCTGGAAAAAACATATTTGGGTCTCTGTTTAATTCTCTTATTCTCTGATGACTGCTAAATAAATGTTCCTGTTATACACAGCTCCTTCAATTAAGTGGCATTTGCTATAGCACGTAATATTGCCTCTGTACCATTAATTGCCCTCTATTCTAAGAGGAATTAAATCCTTCTCAAAGCCGTGATGTTGTCATTCTTACTTCTTTTCATGTTCCTTACATCTCATAGCAATGCTGGACTGCAGAATGCGGTGCTAGACTCCAGTGCTGCCATGGGGAGCAATGAACTTCAGGAGAAAGATGCTGCTGGAGCCCTTGGCTACGACCTCAGCAATGGCAGCAGCAGCAATTTGGACGCAGCCAGGCGCCTGGCTAAACGCCTCTACCATCTGGACAGATTCAAGCGCTCCGATGTGGCGAAGCATTTGGGCAAAAAGTACGTGCTGATATGGGAACTTGTGCTGTGTTGTTCGTACTACTGGCTCAGGAGAGCTCAGTCTTGAATAACTCACCTTTCTTTCTTTTTTCTTTCTTTAAAGCAACGAGTTCAGCAAGCTCGTGGCCGAAGAATACCTTAAATTTTTCGATTTCACAGGCATGACGCTGGACTACTCGCTCAGGTACGTGCCTCTTTGGAAACCCAATGCTCTTGTTTTAGTAGCAGGGCTGTTTGCTGTGTTGGCCTGGGTGAAGCAGTGGGAGCTTAAGATTGTGAAGAGAGGGAAGTGACGTGTTCTGGGATGGAGCATTTCTCTTCTGTTTAGCTTGGCGTGCTGCTGTGCGTAGCTCTGTTGGAGTGGTGGCATTTCCTGGAGGGAGAGATCTTTGGGTGGACTTGCTTAGATGTGATCCTTGACGCAGGGGAGAGGGAGAAAAACAACAAGTCAGTGAACAGGGGGAGCTTGCGGCCTGCCAGGTGCAGCTGAATAATGAAGGTGTTGCTTGCGATTGAGCCGCCCAGTACTCGCTGTCTTTTTGGCTGGTGCCTTTTGAAGCTTTCACTGCCTGGCTGCACTGTGCAAGGCAGGGGCCAGGATTTCACGTGGCTTGGCAGCTCCCCTCGCTGTGTCCCTCTGAGGCACCTAAAAATGTGCAGAACAGCAAAAGCTTCCACATGGAAAATGCCTTTGAGAGTTTGGTAGCTGCCAGCGTGGGTGTTTGAAAACCCATCCCTTCAATTTTTGTTCCTTTTTACAATGGATTTAGGTCTTAACGGTGTTTGTTTTCAGTGTTTTTCTAGGAGGCAAAACACTAAACTTGTGTAGCAGTGGCCTGTTGGCACAGTTGCTGGACCGTTAAATGCTGACAGAAAGGGAGAGGGATTTAATGTGAGTTTAAACCGTCTGGCTCAGGCTACTGGAAAGGGTTATTATTTTTCCTAATGATATGAAACCAGGAAGGCTGTGGGCTCTTGTTGGTCCCCTGGCAAATGCATTTCGAGGGGGTCAGCAGCAGGAAACTGTGGCAGAGCCCTGTCCACGAGGAAAGGACAACGAGCCCTGCATGCCGAGGGCAGCAGGGAGACACCTGCTGAAGGGTTAAAGGAGTGCTTGGATGCTGGGTGCTCCAGCACCAGCCCAGCGCAGGGTGGGGGATGCTGCCTCCTTGTTCCGGGTGTTCGGAGCCCTGGAGCATGGTGCTAAATATACCCCTCTTTTAAATTGTGAAATCCAACACCTAATTACTTCTCCTCGCATTTCTAGGAGGCCTCTTCTCCCTGTAGATCTCCTGTTAATATTAATAGTCGTGACCTTCTCTAAAATATGCTCTGGTTGGTGCGGGACTGAGGCACACAAGGGACTTGCAGAGGCTTCGTCAGCAACCGCTTGCCAGCCAAACTGTGGAGGCTGCTGGGTGTACAGGCTAAGGGCAAAGCATCCTCTTTTTTCACAGATTGAAGCCTGTGGTAATCATGCTGACTTTTAGGATGCCTTGCCCTCCATCTGCAGCACGTGAGAGGTATCTGCCCCGCTGCTGCTGGCTTGCTGGCGAGCTGTAGTTGCTAAATGATTGCGATTCATCAGTGTACCACAGCCTGTGGCAGCAGCCCAGACCTGTGTTCCCTTCAGATGGTGTGAGGCCGTTGTGCAGGGTGCAGCACAGTCCGTGGAGAGTCAGGGCACGTGGATAGGCAGTTGTTGCTCTGCTCTGCTCCCATGCCCTGGCTCTGCGTGTGGGCTGGCTTCACTCGTGCATCTCTCTTGTTTATTGAGCAAATGGTGTTCGTCTGGCTCCCTCTCCAGGGGTGCTTGCAAGGTGGGTCATGGTGCTGACAACAAGGAGAGGCTGCAGGTCTGTGGTGAACAGCAGGAGCAGGGGCTGCTGCTGGAGGGAGGGCTGGCTGTCAAAATTTCCCAGTAGGGCGTGAAATAGGGTGGGGAAGAGAAACCCTGCAAAGACTTGGTTGTATCTACTTGTGAGTTCGGTTATTTGCAATACGGTACATGTGAAATGAAATTATTACCAGGCAGATCACACTCCGTATGGGTGTGAGATCCCTGCAAGTACAGTCTGTCTCTGACCTTACATCAAAGAAAAAGATTTAATAGTTATTCTTCCAGGCTAGATAGACTCGAATGTTCCAGCAGCATATTCCACGCCTCTCAGCTCTGGTGTTTGTTTCAGTCTCATGGGGTATTTAAAATTTGTCTATTAGGCACTCATTTGCAATGCCTTCTTGCTTTGGACCCAGAAGGTCTGTGTTTCCAAGCTTTTCTTAGAAGCATCTTGACAAATGAGTGTAGGCTGATACCGTTGAGGTCATCTCTTGGCTCCAGGATGTGGGGATTTCGGGAAGGGAGAAGCTCTTCATGAGAGCTGGCTGCAGGGCTAGTTTTCCTAGCAGGGAGAATAGTGGGGTGGCTAAGAGGCGGATGAAGGCGTGTCCCTGCTCCTTGCATGGGCTCACTTGCTGTGTCCAGTGCGTGTGCTTGGGTGTGCACAGCTGGAACAGAACACCTTGAGTATACACTGTGCATGGACAGCACCTGTCCCAGCTCCCTCCCTGAAGAAATGAGAAATACTGAAAATTAGGAACAGCTATTTCAAGCAGAAAAACTGCTTATTAGCTCATATATTCTGCGGTTGAGACCAGTAATTTAACTCCTCCTGGTTAATTTACTGTAGTATTTGGGTTAACTGCCCGTGGGATAATGGTTCACTTTCCTAGACAGGCTTCTTGGAACCAAATGTCTGGTGTGTGCTTATGTATTTCCTGCTAAGATTTGTGCTGTGCTGTACAGCTGTATATGCTCCCTCCACACACACCGTGTGAGAGGAAAAAGGGATTTATGATTTTAATTTCTCCTTTTTCTGTGCTTCTTTTAGGAGTTTCTTTAAAGCCTTTTCACTTATTGGAGAAACTCAGGAACGAGAGAGAGTTTTAGTCCACTTTTCCAGCAGATACTATCAGTGTAACCCAAACACCATTTCTTCTCAAGGTAACTTTGCTTCTGATAAGGTCTTTGGTCTCCCTATTCCCTCATCCTCACCTTGTATGTATGGTAGCTTGTGTGGTGACATGCTGTAATTGCTGTGCCACGCTTCAGAGATTGCCTGTCACAAGCATGGAAACCCTTCCCATTGTCGACACACATTTGTGTTAAGATAGTGAAAAATTGTGTTTATCCCCACACAGGCAAGGTCTTTAGGCCTTCTCAGTGTAAATCCTTTGTTTCAGCATCTCCAGATTTAAACGTCCTCGGTTGTGGTTTTTGGTCTTGCTGACTTCCCATGTGTGTGGGTACCTGTGCTCCAGCTGCACGTGTAGGGATGGGAATGATCACATCTCATGTGGCAAAGACACTCTGCACTTCTCATACTCAGCTCAGTGCTCATCTCTCCGCATGCACTGGCAACGCACATGCCAGTTCTTGCCAGTTGTGGGGGTGAATTTTGGGTGCTGTATCCAGACCCTGGCACGGTTTCATCTTGACTGACTAACATCAGTCAGAGAGTACTGCCTCCGTGCCAATGTTTTCAGTCATTTTGGAAGTTGGTGGGGGAAACAAACAAGCGCAGAGATCAAACCCAAGGAAGTTGGCATTCGAGAAGAGGACGAGCTGTCCGCTGGCATAGCTGCTGCACTCAGTCACCCGTGCCAGCGGAGGAATGTGACCCTGCGATTCCAGTGCCGGCTGATCACACGCTGGGAAAGCTGAGAAAGGGAGGAGGAGAAGAAAGAAAATACGCACGGGCTCAGACGAGCCTTTGGTCTCTAGTGTAAGTAGGGAGGAGCTGCTGTGTTTGGAGGAACCACCACACTTCTTGCCCCTTGCTTTGTAATTAACCTGTGACAGAGAGGTGGCGTTTGCCTTCTCTGTGCCTGTTCAGCTTTACTGGCTGACCTGTCAGGGAAGGAAATAGGTAGCAATGAGATGTCATCTGCTCCTGCACCATATCTATCCCCTTCCTGATGCCTTTCTTGTTTTAAGATGCCACAGGCAGTCAAGTAGAATAGGTGTGTGTTGTTTTTAGATTAAAACAATGATTTCCATGTCGATCTGGCTGCCTTACTCGAATTCCAGGTTGCAGTAGGGACATTTCTACTTAAGAGTGTGAGTAAGCATTTCAATTTAAGCGAGTCCTGTAGCCCTTGCTTAGGATTTCACATAATTTTGATGCTGGGTTCCCACTGTCAGTAGTCAGGTGGTGCGGTGCAGAAATGTGGTGATAGTTCCTTTTGGTGGAAATCCAGGGTTGCATTTGCTTTTCTGTTTTCACTTTTCACATTTCCTTTTTTTCAGTTCTCCAATTGTATTTGGGATTTGGAGGACGGGCTGCTCTAGAGAAATGTGTAGACCTGAACTAGAGCACCACTGTCCCAGATTCAAGCTGCTTCAGACTTGACGCTGTTACCGATTATAATAGTGCTGCTTTTATTCCCTGCTCTGCTAGAGTTCTGCCACGTTGCTTGGTTGCCTTACAAACATTGTAAGAAAACATGGTATTTACCTTGCAGCACGTCTTTTTGTAATGGCTTTATTTTTCACAGATTTAAGCCTGTGGTAGTCATGCTGACTTTTAAGATGCATATATCCCCATCCCCATTTCTTCTCTTTTACACCACACGGGGATCTGTGCATGGTCATAATCCTGACCTGGCTACAAAGGTTTTTACTTGCATCTCACTGCAGTGTGTCCATGGCTTATAAATGATTCTGTATCTTCATGACAGCTCTGTGAGAGAAAGGAAGACATCACCAGGTGTTTACAAACAGGAGAATGGAGAAAATATTTTTCTTAGAGCACTTTTTAAGTTTGAAAACAGGACGAAGGGATTTAGAAAATGAATTTACCGAGGTGACAAATGGCAGCATGGGCACTGTCACCTGTGTTTGGATTGTGCTCAGCTGCTACACTTAGGGTTTTAAAAGGGGTGCATGGAAAATAAACAGTACTAAAGTGATAGCCACTTCTGAAAATACTGGTCTGCTCTGACTTTCCCAGGTCTACCACAGTGACTCTAGGGATGGAGTAAGGAATGCAGCCCCTTTTCTTCTGGCTCCATGTGGAGTTCCTCTGTTACAGGACCTGTTTAGACATTGATGGGTTGTTCACTAGCCAACATGAAGCCTAGGCTGTCTGAAGAGCTGAGGGAAATTCTTCAAAATTTAGTGTAATTGAGCCCTGAATGAGGAGGGGGCCACAAAAACAGCATGCTATCTATCGTGTTGTATGTGCACCGTATACAAGAATGTGCGTGTATTATTCTTCCCTTTCTGCCCTAAAAAAGTGGGAGCTGATTCAAGCTGTACTGGCATTAGCAGGCAAAGGGTGGCAGCGTGGTTTCCTGTCTAGTTTGCATCATCCATGTGTGCTGCAAGATAGTTCTGACAGTCATTAAAAGATGAAAGAAAGGCTGTTCTGTCTTGGCAGCTGTGGAATGACCTCACTGTTCATTTACTTAATTATGTGTATTTCTTGATAAACAGATTCTCATTAGGAGAACAGACTCGATTAGGCTACAAGGCTTCGTTTCAGCTGTTCTTAAAGGTACAGGCTTGGGTTTGCATGTGACTCGTGTTATGCCTTTCTGCAGATGGAGTTCACTGCCTCACGTGTGCCATGATGCTGCTGAACACTGACCTGCATGGACACGTGAGTTTTGGGTTTTGCCATTATGTGCGAAGATGCTCCTAGTCCTCAGCCCCCTTTCTTTCTGGTGGGCTTCTCATCCTTTCCCCAGTGATGGCAGGTGACCCTGGCCAGGGAGCTGTGGTTGGGATTGAATTCTCCTTTCCAATACACAGAATACAAGGGGCAGGTGGTGCTTGCAGGTATCCTGTTGCAGGGAGAAGATCTGGTGGGACCAGAGTTCTGCTCAGCCAGGTAATAATGGCTGTGCCCAGAGGAAAGAGAGCAGAGGAGGGGCGTGGGTGCCCTGAGCAGGAGCCCTGCATTCCCCCGGTACATGCATCTCTCCTGTGGCTGCCTGGGGGAAATAATTTTCCAGTTCCATTCCTCTTAGTCACTCTGGTGCAGCAGGGTGCCAGCAGCCCTAGGACATGTATTTGAGCACCTGCAGTGCAATAGGCTGCTGTGCACGGTATTCCTGGGGCTTTCTCTGTCCATGCACAGCAAGGATGCGGGACCAGGCAGCAGGGCATGGAGGCTTATCCCTGGGGGCAGGCACAGCCCTGAGAACCCCAGCTGCAGCACTGTAGCTCTGTCTCCAGGGGCTGCTCAGCCCCTGTGGGTGCACAGCTCTGCAGTGGCTGCAGGTAATGAAGCCCAGGCTTCTGCCTGCTTCCCCAGGGGTTTTGACGCCCACCTGACGTTAATTGAAGATCTTTGTCTGAAAATTGTAGGAGCAGGAGGGGGAAGGGAGTAGTAAAGACTTTTTTTTTTCCTTTGTGGGCTGGGCCTTCCCCGAGGTACTGGAGTAAGGGATGTGGCTCAGACCCTTCGTTACTGCTGTTGGTTTGTAGCTGGGGTTAGAATGACTGGTGCACTATGTAACTTCGGAGGTTTATACTGCTGGCAGCCATTATTCATGTGTTGCTACCTGTGTGGAGCTGTAATGTTTGCCAGGCTCCTGTACGTGTGCCACTTCTCTCTGGGATTTCCTGTAACTTTGGTTTTCTTCTTACTGCTTTGCATTTTTTCCACGTAGGTGGTAAGTTGGGCATTTCTGACTTGGAATGCAGCCCCTTGCACACATATACTAATTGCCTGTTCCCTAACAAAGATACAATGCTCCAACCCATCCTTTAGCATGATTCTGCTGGAGCAGGAAACAAATGAGTCATAGGGCTTGTCTGCACTGAGCTCTGGTTGTTGCTGACAAGCTAATGATAAGTGCGGATGCTTTTATCTCATGGTAAGCTCACATGCATGTAGGGCTGTAGGGCAACTGCTGTGCCTTCAGTCCATGCTCTCCCTTAACTCTTGTAGACAAGCTCTCACTTACCCCTTTATTTGCCCCTGCCCTGCCGCATTTTTTTTTTTTTTTGGTAGCTAAATCCTTTATGCTAGCTGTGTCTTGAAGATGCATGCTTACTTCTCTGCAGGCAGGTTATTTCTTGGGCTGTGATGCCATGCTAGAGGTAACTCTGTTCAAGGCATCCCTAGACTGCAAGGCACATCTTCTGCAACCTGTGTGGTGATGTTAGCTTTGGTCCTTTGGTGGGTAGGTCCTAACCTGCTTTTGGTCCTTTGGTGGCCAAGGGCTGTGGGTTCTGTCTTTGTGTCTAGATGAGGCTGATGGTTAGGGTTTGGTGGTTTTCCATCTTTCCCTGATCATTTTTTTTATTTTTTTTTGCAAAACAGGAGTAGAAGTGCAGCCCAAGCCATCATGTAACTGCAACACTGAATAACCTATATTATTGACTCATCTCTTTCTTGGGACTTTGCTTCTGCCTGTACACAAAGCTCTTCCACTGTAGGTTGTGAATGCTTCATGTTTTCCTGGCAAGGCAGGGAGGAGGGCTTCAAGCTACAAGGCTGCTTCCCCAGAGGACAGCCAGCAGTCCATTTTGCACACAGAAACAAGGCAGGTACCTTGTAACATGCCCTCATTAGTCAGAGAGAGCAAGCGCTGTGCAGCTTGTGGGCACACCGTGCTACAGGTGGAGGTTTGCAGTGTGGTACGTGGGCGCACCGTGTACTAGCTCTGTCCCAACAGAGGAATTCACAGCCCAGTGTCATCCTGCAGCCACGGCATACCCTGACTATGGGATGATCTTACCAGACCTTTTCCTCTCTGGCATCCCTAAAGATAATGCTGGTCATCAGAAAGCCCTGTTTTCACTTTTGCCATGTTTTGTGGTTAGTTCCAGGCTGCTTCCCTTTCCTCAGTTCTCTCTGGGATCCTTTTTTCACCAGTTCGGTGTTACCATTGCTGCCCACTCACAAGGCTTCCTGCATGCAAGGCTTGGAGTTTCTAACACCCAGGACACCAGGGGGACCTAGCACAGACACCTTCTCTGAGCCCTCACTGGGATCCCAGAACAATTTAAAGGCAGCCTCAAACCTTGAAATACAGAATGTTTTGGGTCCTACACGAATGTAGCTATCCCCTTTCTGATTGTGGCTCTGTTGGGCAACTTGGAGACAGTGAATTACACAGAAGGAGAGAGAAAAGAATCCTCTGTAAGTGTGGAGGCAGAATCAGAGTCTGTGAATCAGAAGATGGTGGTGGCTCCTGAGCATCCTGCTCTTGCAAGGCTGCTGCTACTGGAGGGCAGGATTAGAAGGAATAAGAATAAGGTCTGGAAAGTGTCTTGGCTGTTTCCCTATGCCCTACAGGTGGATCAAGTACAGATTTTCTACCTTGTAGAGCCTTTGGAGACATGGGGGTGGAAGGCACCATGCACATTCCAGTGAACTTCAGCAGCACCCTCTTCATTATCCTCCAGTATTCAACTTTTTTTTTTTTCAGATGAGTATGTGGAGTCCAAGTACACTTTACCTTTTCCAACTGTGTTCACACAGGGATGCTTGCCTGTGAGTGATCTTGGGAATGTCTTAGTATTGCTCGCCTTGGGCTTGAATGAAAGCAGGGAGATGGAATTCATCTGTAACATTGCTTATGTACTTTTCAAAAGCAGCATGAAGGTGATGCTTTGTTTCTCTGTCATCCTTTCCAGAACATCGGGAAAAAGATGACCTGCCAGGAGTTCATTGCTAACCTCCAGGGGATGAACGATGGCAAAGACTTCCCAAAAGGGCTGTTGAAGGTAAGAAGATGAACTGCAGAACATGTGTTTCAGTTTCAGTGAGAGATGGTTCAAGCCGTGCTTGCATTTTCAGAATCTCAATTGTAAAGCAGGACAGGCTGTGGGCACATTTCTCCTCCCAGAGCATACACAATACGTACAGTGTGTTCATTCTGTTGTTTTCCCTCTGCCTTCACTTGCATGAGGCTGGGACAGTGTGCATCATGAACTAGCAGGACTAAACTTCAGTGGAACCATCTCCAGAGCCATACGTCCTGTAAGGTCGGGTGGTCAGGCAGTCCCAGGCTTCTGTCTCCTGATTCAATCAGAGAGAAGGCAGCCAGCTGGTTCTGACTATTGAATATGTAAGGACTAATCCTGAACTGCATATCTGGAAGGCGTGTGTTTTTTCATCAAAGGTGCTTTGGGGTTTTCACATTAGAGCAGATGTAATTTCAGATTACAGTGTGCTGTCTGGTACAGACTGCTTTGCTTCAGGTTTTGTTCATTAAGTTTATGGCAGGAGTTAAATCTGAAGAGCTGTGAAAGAGGCAGAGCAGGACAAATCTTGTTTCATTGTCAATAATAATGAGACTGTTTCGTTTCTCTTTTGTGTGACTGTTGGCATGAAACAGCAGTCTGTTTGAATGAGGAGAGGAGCGCATATACTAGACATCGTAATTTTTTTGGTAATGGAAATAGTAATGAGAGGTTGCTGCATCCGAGATCTGACCCAAAGCCTACTGAAGTAAATCAAGAGTTCCTCCTGTTCTGTTTTTTTTTTTTTATTTTTATTTTTTTCAGGCCTATTGTGAAATGCAGATGCACCTGCACAATTACAAGTGGCAGAGTTTTTTATACTATTGGCAGTTTCTTCAGTTTCTCCAACGTTTTCAGGAGCTTTTTGTTAGTCCCTCCCACCTCAGTTTATTAGTTAGGAATGTAAACTCAAACCCCTTGATTTTAGATTTAATGTATTTATTTTTAAAATGTGGGTGCAGCGTGCTTGTCTATCAGCAGCATCACTTAATTTATTTTTTTTTTCCCAACAAAGTTCATTTCTCAGTCTGCCATAGAGAGATGTGTTGAGATTAATTTGCAGGCTAATTGCAGCCCTTATTGAATAAATAGGTCTCCAGGCTGTGTTTAAATAACCTTCTGAGTGTACTGAGGAGAGGTTTCCACTGGTGCTCACCTGCTGTTTATTTTCATGCTGACAGAAGTACACAGTCGGGGCTGAATCTTGGTGTTTATTGCTGACCTTCAGTCTAGTGCTAAGACTGCCTGGCTCTTTGCCAGCCCACGGAAAGCCAGGGACTGGGACTTGGGATGTTTTGCAAGAAACCTGGTGCCAGTGTCCTGCTTCGTTTGAGGCATGCTGCCCTTTTCTGCGTGCTGCCCTAATGCTCTGGGGACAGAGGTGGAAACCAATACTGGTCTTTCATATGGCTTGTCTGAAGGTTTGCAGACATTCTGCTGCTCATTGTTTTAATTCGCTAGTGGAGGGAAGTCGAGCGAGTGGCAGTAAATGTGTGTTTCAATAGCTACATTACTGTGCCCGCAGCAGCCAGCCTGACACTAGATATGTGATTACCAAGATTTAGCAGAAATTAAATTTGCATTACTGTCAATAAATTTAATTCACGGAGCCCTGCTTCAGCACAGTGCTGAAGCGCGTTTGGCTCGCTGGTGCATTAGCAGGACAGCTGATGTGAGGAGGCTGCAGGCTGACTCCCCACAGCCCTTCTGAAGTTGTCTGGGAGAGCAAGGACCATTTCCACAGGGTGGCAGTGTGCCCCTGCGGGAGCGAGATGCTCAGCACCCACTGGTGAGTGGCGTAGATGTGGCTGGGAAGCAATTGTGCTTTTCTGCCTCTTCCATCTTTCCGTGTTCTCTTTGTAGCACTGAGGTGGGCATTGCATCACTGAATGAAACTCTGCAGCTGTGCATAGCCAAGCCCCTGTACAAAGCTGAGCAGTGCTGGCACTGAAAGAAAAGGGGGGAAATCTTAGACAAATGCTTCATGCAGGACTTGGGAAGCTCTCTGTAACACTTGCTCAGTACAGAGCAAGTACAGGTGGCTCAGTACAGAGTCAGAGCTGCAAGTCCCAGTTGAGACATGCAGAACAGTAAACACACAAGCAGAAGTCAAATGTCTTCAGTCACTCCTATTACCCTTACTTCCACTGCAGCCTTGAGTGTTTATTTTGTTTATTTCGTAGGAAAAGAGACTTTCAGTGGGCAGACATGAACGTGTGAGGAGAGACAGTTGCCTATTCTAATTGTAATCAGCCTCTGAAAACTTTGGATGTGGGATCTCATTGCTCCCACATGAAGGAACCAGACCTCTGTTGTATTGTGGTTTTTTTTTTTTTTTGTTTGTTTGTTTGTTTTCACCCCAGCAATAAGGGCAGTTTGGTAAACACCATAAGGCCTTGTAGTTCAGGACTTGATTCTGTGTGTCCCTGATAGTGCTTTGGGAACAGGGATTTTATTCTGGCTAGAAGGGAAATGAGGAATGCTAATACATCACTTGCTCTGTGTCCTTCTGTCTTTAATAGTGAAAGGAGTTTCATTTTGTACATTCATCTATACGATGGTTTATCTATTTATTTTTTTTGTCTTCCTCCCTCCTCCTGTTAGGCCTGAGGTTGTTTTTAAAGTTGGGACCCACAACGGCAGATATGCCAAGCTGACTAACAGCGTGGCTCTCCCCATGGGATCTGCTTGCAGTGTGCATATATTCAGTTCTTTGCTGGGCAGGCAGATACATGCACAGATACATGCACCTTCCCTTTTATTCTATCCTAGCTCTGGTTTGACTGTCTGTCACGCATCTGCTGTCACCTGCTAGTAAAGACCAGAAGTGGAGACAGTGGCTTGATGTCCATTGTGTGCTGTCAGTGCATACAGGCCCGAGAATGGTTGTTTATACTTACTCCAAAGTTCCCATAGGCCTTCAGACTGGAACAACTCCTTGCAAGTGAGAACCAGCATCCCAAGCTGCGATTCTCTTCGGTGTAAATCAGTGGTATCTCTGTTTGGCTGACTGGTGTACAAGGTGATTCAGGCCTGTTGAATCCAGACAGATTAAGGTTATTGAGAGTGAAGTTTTTCAAAGGCAAGAAAACTTTTTGAAACTCCTGTCCTTTGACTCTGAACTGTCACACTCCAAGCATACAGATAGTTTTCTATTGTATCGAGCTGTGCGAGGTGAATCTTGAATTACTAGCAATGTTTTCCTTTCAGCTTTGGTCTGTTGCACAGATCCCTTCACTGTGATGAGTCGAAGCCTTGCAAGGAGTGCCAAGGCCTGTGAGCTTTAATCTGGTGTTGCCATACTATCTCCACTGATGGTAGTCTGTTACATAGCCGTTGTCGTCTTCAGTGTTGGGCTTCATGAGATTGGCTTGAAAAGCATCTACTTCTGGCTGTGCTCTCTTGTGCTGACTGGTGGCTGCATTGCCCCCCAGCGTGAGCACTGGGTGTGAGGTGTGCCCAGATCTGTGCCTTCAGGTGGAAGGTGATGGCTCTGCACCAGAGTGGTGTCAGGCAGCTTCACCAGCCTGAGGGAGCCGGGGTGCTCTGCAGTGACTTTGCAAGAGCTGTCCCAGGAGGGACTGCTGTGGAGATAAGACTACATTCCTGCATGAAAGATCTGCTCTGTCTCCTGGAGAAGTGCTGTAATGAAGTGACCAAATTAAGTGGGAGTTGCTGCTGCCGAACTTTCCTGAAGAGCCAGTCCCCCTTAATTTCCTAAATGATTTGAATTCTTGATCAGGACTCCTGGGATATGCAATTTCCTATAGAAGCTGCAAGGTAGAGTTTATCTCATTTTGCTGTCAGTTCCTTGCACTTTAATCAATGATTGTTGTATTATTATTTTTTTTTTTTGCCACTGCCTTTGTCTCCTATTTCACCGTCTCCCCCGCTCCTCATCTCCCCCCCAAAAAAGCCCTCCAAAGCAAACACTTCATTAAAAGAGTTGATCTCTTTTATTTCTCTTTTATTTTATTTTATTTTTCATTCTTGATCCATTCCCATCATTTCAGGTGTCTCGTGGAGAGAAGGGGGTTGAATGTCAGGTAGCTAACTTTTTTCTCCCCTCTTATTTACCCAGAAGAAGTCACACTTACCAGACTGCTGTATATGCTGTAACTGCCCTCATCTGTAGTCTCTGCACTTTATCCTTTTGTGTCTGAGGCTCTTCGGCAAGGACTTTCCACCTTCCTGCTATTGCTGAATGGAAAAGCGAGCCTGATGAATTCACCGAGAAGGGAGTTTGTAGCGGCGTGCCAGAAGGGCCCCAGAAGGGTAGCGTTTATTGCTGGGGCACGGTGCAGCTGTGGGCAAAGCAGGGGGGCGGAGGGGATGAAATGTCTGTGCTCTGCTAGGAGAGTTGGAATTCTGCTTGGCAGGAATCGGGCCTTACCTCCTTGGTTTGCCTCCAGGATGAAGTTTTTCCTTTTTTAAAATGTTTCTGCTGGGATAGTGTTTCTGGGGCAGCCATTTCTTATCTGTTTGAAATGAAGGATCTGTTGCTGAAGGCCTCTTTCAGCTGCTAGGAAACAACTGAGTCTAATCCAGCAGTCTAAAAGTCAGGGAATGCAGGATAAAACATTAATCCATGTCTTTAACAGTTGTTTGTGAAAACATACTTTCCTTTCAGTCACTGAAGAGCCACAGTAACAGTGACTGAAGGGAACACTCAGATTGCCTTCGGTCTTCTCCATCCTCAGTAAGGACCTTTCTTCTGTGGTAACCTTCGTTTCCCTTGGCTTATGATTCTGGATGTTGTAGCTTATCCTCTGCAGGGATAGTAACCAGCTAAAGCATGCCCGTGCAGAACTGTGAATTAAGCCAGGTTATGGTGATACACGCATTGCTTTGGGATCTGCTAGTAACAGAGGTCCTGACACCTACCTGCCTGGGTGACATACACATCTATTTTCTTCTTGTGTTCCAGGAATTTGGCTCAATTCATGTAAAGAGAAAAATCTGAAATCTGTGCACTCTCTGAAGTCAAACAAGCCTAAGTATTAAGTCTAGGAAAGCAATATAAGATAACAGCAAAAGTCTAATGCTCTCCACTGAGTTTCTTTCTCTGAGCAGGGGAAGTGAAACTCTTGAAAAGGCTTAAATGTAAGATTGTGTGATGGTGATCCAGGAATAATAATTCCTCTCAGTGGTCCAGGGGTGGTGCAGGGAATTGCTTATCTTGCTAGGAAGCAGGCGTTTCAGGGCGGGCATGTTTCTGCTTTCATTGCCTGCATTTCTCTGACTTATTTTTCCTTCTCCAACCTTTTATTTCTATGCATTCAGATAGTTACTCAGAAGATATTGCCTAGCCCATCAGGCTTTTGTGTCAGCAAGGAGTGAAACCCAAGCAGGGTCAGCTAAGACCCTTTCCATTAGTACTTGCCGCAATTATGTGGCTTAATACCAGGCTCCTAATGAGCGTTTGGGGGGTTAATTTTCATCTGTGGAGGCAAAGTCTCAGTAGCGAATTGTCCAAGTTGATCAGGCAAGTGAATCATATGATGTTTAGCTTCTCCATCCTGTCAGATGGCCAAGGCTGTCAGTTACTCTCTGGTTTAGCCAAAATGCTTAGCAGCTCCCGAGGACGAATGTCTCCGTGTAGAGCTTCCCATTCCTTGTGCTGTCAGTGTGAAGGGTACAGAATGCTGGTCTTGAGCAGTGCTGCTCTCTGCCACCTTAAAGAAGGAGCTTTAGGCTCTTTTCGAGCTGGGAAATCTCTAATACAATGTCACACATACATTTTGGTCCCTATGACATATTACTCCCACCTCCATGTAGGTAGAAAACAAATTCTGAAAAACATTCTTTGATCTTCCACCCACTGATCTGCTTGAAATTTTAGTTCTGTACTGCAACTCGAGAGAAGGAGGAGTAGGAATATAATTTATACCATATTTAAAAAAAAAAAAAAGGAAGAAAAAGAAAGGGAGAAAACATTACTTCCACCAGTTTTGGAATTATTGCCATATAAATCTTTGGTACTCATGCCTCCTGTTAGTCATCTCACTTTTAAAATGACATTGGATTACTCTCTCTCTGACCCAGTTACACTGTTTCTTTTCAAGCAAGAGCACCGTGTTGCTGCTTGAATTTTGATGTGTGTGTGTGTATATATATATATATAATTTTTTTTAATGTTAAAATGAGCGCTTAGTTTCCTTCTGAGGTCATGCTTCCTTGTGTGACAAAGTATTCGTAAGATCCTGGTGAAAACAGAGGGCAAATCCAAGATGACTCCTTCCTGCCCTGCTGACAGATGGTGTTTGGCAGGCGTCATGAGGACTACGTTGGATTTCTCCTGTGGCTGGGCCAAGGCAGCCAGACACCCCTCCATAGCCACATGCATTTGTGGAGGACAGGGATGCCAGAGGCTGTGCCTGTGTACCCCCCCTTGGGCTGCTCCTTCCAGTGCCAGCAACACCCACGTCAAACTTTTGTGGCTCTCAGAGTGGCCTCAATTATTTTTTTATTTTATTTAATTTTTGCTATTGTTGTGTTTGCTGTCTCTGAATCAGAGGGAAGCATTAAGGGGTGGTTGTTTTTCTTTTCATGCAATGTCTGGGGGCGTGCTGGGTGGCAGAGGGTTTATTTAAATGTTGTTGGCTGTAAGCATGCTCGCTGCAGGTACAGAGGCACGGTTTGTTTGCAGCTGACAGGGAGAGTCTGTTGGCTTTGCAACCATGTTTGATTTGCATCACTGCGGGTTTCTGTCACATCTACTTAGGACGGTAGGGTTTTTTCATGGTTTTATGGATTTGCTTGGGATGCTGCTCTTTTGTGTAGCTACATCTGTTAGCTTTAACTTAAGGAACTTGGTGGTCTCTGATAGTTGACGCTTGTTGTATGGCTCCATTTGTTTCTGCCAGCACAATTTAAAATAGACAGTAGCTCCCAAAAGAAGGATGCTAGAGGAGACTTTTTTCCCCTCCGGAGACTATACTGCTTAGCTAGGAAATGCAGTCTGTGACACTGAGCTGTGTAGGGATATGCTGTAAGGAAAATCAAGTTAGGTAACTGCATCTCTTCACTTGTAATGCTGATCAGGATAAAGGAGGTGTGGTTCCTTTGCACCACTGTTCTTATCCAGGAGCTTTTTTTCACTAAACTTGTAGTCTCCCATCATTCTCAGCAGGCCACTTCATCTTGGGACAGATTTCTTTTGGCTCAAAAGAATCCTGGAGAGAGAGATAGCAGGATTGATTTGGTCTTCCACCAGCCAATGTGGTTTTATCTCTCAGCTTGCTTTTTGGTGACTTACTGATGTAAAAGGTCAGTTGTAAAGACTAGTGTCTGTGACTACAAGTCAGCTGATCACAGATGTGCTTTTAGCCTGCTTCTCACATAGAGTAAAACTTTACCTTCTTGAGTTAACCTCTTGGGAGCAAGGCTTGTATTTTCCTGGTACTGTAAGTTGATGTGCTTTGCTTCATGGTTGAAGTGGTCTAAAAGCACATGCTCTTGCAGTTTGAATGGCTTAGTTGAAATGGGATAGCTTTCTAGGCTGTAGTAGTTTGACTGCTTTCCATTGTAAGGATTACTTTCCATATTGTAACAGAAATCAGAATAATCTTCAGGGATTCCTTCAGAATCTATAGCAAAGGTGTATGCACTACTACATAAGTCATAAGAAAGCACAAAATTCTTTCTTGAGGACATCAGTGAGTGTTTTTTTTTTTTTGCTGGTAAATTCACTCAGATTGGGGTAAAACCCAGCAGCTCCATAAATGTCACTATAAAGATCTACTGTGGTCAGCGGAGAACAGGACTATCTATTGGGAAAAGCTAGGTAGTTAATTTGGAGATTAATTTTGAAATTTCCTGTCAATATCTGCCATTCTCCCACCATACACGAAACGTGCTGTTACCCTGTTAGGGTTCCTTGTAGACGTGATTGCTTATGTATGTAGAAACAAAGTGATTGCTCTAGTATTTCTGCTATTTACAGGGATGGCTGTTGGGAGACATTAAGATTTAATCTTGGTTGTCAGCTCCCCCTGGTTAGCAGACCTCAGAAATCATTATCTTAATATCACAGTAATGTCAGTTCAATAATGTCACTGTTGATCAGTTGTTGAGCTGTAGTTCTGTAGCCATCATGTATTAGTATTTGATCCAGCGGAATTAACTGCACGTCTGTTTTGGGGAGAAGAAAAAAACAGGGATGAAGGAAGAAGGAAAGCAATCTTATGAGAGATTTAATGCTGTTTATTTAACAAACAACAGTATTTAATAGTGGTATTAAATACTGCTGCTTTCCTGTGCTGCACAAATATGTTATTACTGGCTCTTGAGAGTACATTTTAGGTAATTGATGTGTGTATGTATTTTGTTAGCTTTTGTTGGGGGTATTGTTGTCACTGGGATCAGGCTTAAATGATACTAATGGATTCTTGTGGCTTTGTCTGAGGACACTGAAGTTCTTCAGACACAATAACTTGGTCCTTGGGTTTGGTAGCTAAAAGCCAATATTGAATGTCACTTTGAATTCCTCAGGTTTTCTTCTTTTGTTGTTATTTGCTGAATAACATTAGGAGGACAAAGTGAGGACTGGGTATATTTGGCCCTGACTGAGTCAGTGAAACCTGGTGGGAGGAAGAGATGGGAAGGAGCTTATTGCATAGGAAGTTGGCACGGCTGCCTGTTACCTGTATGGGTGATGTACTCTGCCACTGTCTGTGACAGGTGAAAAGCTTTTGGATAGTTTTGAAACGGTGAGATGGAAAGAACTGCAGAGACTCTGCTCCCCCCTCCCTTCATCTGCTTTGGCCTAAAGTTTCAAATTCTCTTGCTGATTTATGGTTTGCTCTTGGAGGTGCTGGTAGGAAGTGTCCATAAATAGGGTCACCATCCTTTCAGTCACCCCAGTGGTGTTACTGAACTGTTCCGACCAAATGCCAGCTGAATATCTCCATCTTGCTCCTTTCCTACTACCTCTTTGCTGGCCTCTGATCAAGGGGAAGATCGTGGCTTCTTGCCACTACTGGAGATTCCCCTGGGTGCAGATGGCTTTGATTTTTTTTATTTTTTTTTTCCGGTATTGCATAGTCATATCAGCCCCTCGTTAAAGAAATTCCTTCTGTCCCCTTTTCTGTCAACAACCCACTTCCCTTCTCCCTCAGAAATTCTGTTGCTCAGTTACAGACACAAATCAATCCTGTATGCATGTTAATTTCTAAAATGGTGGAACCTCTCTAATGTTCAGAAGTGGTCTTTCTGAAGAGGAAGAGCAGTCACTGTGTACACAGATCTACTTGCTCAGTCAGGACTACAAGACTGTGTTATAACTTACAGATGAAAATTAGAGACAGTGGAGCAATAGACAAATCCCTGGGCTTAAGACATTTAAGGCTTCATAAAGCATGATCTCAAGGTGTTTTCTTTATTGGAGAGCATGAGCTGACAGGTGTTTTCCATGCTCTGGCTGGGAGGGGGAGTAAAATTGAACAAGATGTGACCTCTCACCCTGGGTGTTTTGGACTGCTGCTTGGTTACAGCTGAACCAGACCCGATCCCTTGTGAATTAAGGTTCCCATCCTGCCTGGGGAGCTGCTAATCTTGG